AACCTACATAGGCATGGCACGGCACTGTTCTAGATCATTGCTACTGAACATTGTCTTCTTGGCAGACAGAGAGTCGAGGCATCAAAATGAGGCACAGGACTTGGCTAGGAGTCAAGGTGGGGGTAGGGTAGGGGTAAGGTCAGGCCACAGGCTGAGGAAAAGAAAAGCTCAATTCATCCCACTGCCCTTAGCGTCCAATCCCACGAAAGCCCTGGCCCACATCCCCCAACAGCATCCCCCCACCCCATCTCTTCAGTGCATTTTGACCTCAGTATGCCCTGGCCTGAGGGAACCGTCCCTTAAACACCTCTCTGTCACCTCCAACTGAAAGGCCACTCTAGCTGGGTGCCGATGTCAAGGATTTATGTTCTGTCCCTGCCTCCCTGTCATGCCAGCACCACCTGGGCTGTGCCCGGCCCAGAAGATCCCCTACCGTCTGGAGAGAGGCTGGTGTCCCAAAAGCCTGCCCCAGCCAGGGATGCCATCTGGAGCAAGCCTAGTATCTTGCGGGAGTCAGCTGAAAAGTCCCACTTCCAACTCCACTGAAGCCCGCCTCCATAATCTGGAAACGGGTTACTTCATTCCCAATAGCGTGATTAAATTGAGCCACAGACATGAAACCTTGACACTGACTGGCCTTATATCCATAGTTATAACAGCTCAAAGGGAGGCAGACCCTCTTCTTCCTTCATTGCTCTGCCCCATATTTAACTGACCCTTGCTAGCTCCATCAGGAAGACAGGCAGGAGGAAATAAAGTAGCCAAACTGTCCACAGCCTTGGACTCGGAGGTTCTACTGCTAGACATACACCCCAAGGCAGTCAGTGACATAAATAGCCCCATGTACAGAAAAAAAAGATTACAGCAGCATCTTTTGTGACAGCAGAGAAACCAAACAGACGTCCATCAATTGGGAAAGAGTAAAACAAATCGTGGTATATGAATGTAATGGAATACTATGGTGCTCTAAGAAACCTCAAAGAAGCCAACTACAGAGAAGCAAGGAAAGACTTACATAAACTAATGCAGAGAGGAGTAAAGAGCCAGAAAACAATGCACACAATGATTGCAACAATGTAAATGGTGAGACCCACCACAGAACAATCAAAAATGAATGTTGCAAAATTACAAAGATAAGAGAAGATACTTCCTTTGCAGAAGCTGAAAGGAGGCTTCCAGACTATGATTGTTATTGGGGGGTTTTTTTTTTTGTTGTTGTTGTTTTTTAATGATTTGAGTGGTTTTGCTAAAAATTTTTTTCTTCGTTTTTAGAGACGGCTCTCTGGGAGGAAGGGGGTAGAATACAGAGGGAAATCTAGGGCAGGTAGATAAAAACACAAGATAGCAATAAAAATCTATTTTTTTTAAGGAAGCCAGGAGTTTTGTCCCCCAGGAATTCTCTACTTCTGCCGTATATCTGTCTCCTCTCAAAAAGGCCTGTATACCCCTTCCGGCATCAAACCTCATCCTGCTCTAGCCTTCTTAGCAAAGCTGGCGCTGGGCAATTTCAGGGAGCTGGTATATTTGGTCTTCAGCTCTCTGCTGGCTCCCAATGGCCCTATTCCTTCCTAGGCCCTCAGTGCTCCCAAGCTACCTCTCCTGCCACAGAAGAAAGGATCTGCTAAAGCCATTGCCCAAAGGCTTTCGGGATTGAATGTTACTCTTTTCACAGGGGTTTGCATTGATCAAAAGGACTTCTGAAGAGGATAATTTTTAACCCTAAGGAACAATATTTTAATGGTCATATTTCTGGCACCTGGAGGAGGTCCCTTCCTAGTACACCTCCTGCCCCTCAGCACATCCCTAGGAAATTGTCTCAGCTTCCTAGGACCAGCTCTACTCTTTACTTTCACTCTTTAGAAGGGCTGTCCTGCTAGCTCCCCTCCCTAGTACTCTGAAGGTCTTTGCATACTCATTTCACCAGAACTGAGACTGGAAGTCAAGGATGCTTTAATAAAATAAACACCCAAAGTTTGTTCAATAGCTAAGCAAACAAAGAATGGAGAATTGACGGAGGGATGCCTGGGGGGGGGGTAAAACTAGTGAGAGATCAGGAGAGGTCCAATGAAACTCACCTCTCTTTCCAGCTGACCTGGCCTCTCCACATTTGAAGTTTTTTTCTTAAAGGACCGAACTATTTGTATTGGGGAGTTTCTGATTCCTGGCAACTCCCCACCCCAGAGAGCTCCCTCCTCTTGGGACAGAAAACTATGAAACCATCTCTTCCAAGCTGCCTAAGCGCTCTGCCAGCAAATCCAGGCAGGCTGATTTTGATAGCCTGTGGCAAGCTGATAAATGGTTCCAATTAAAATGGCCCCTCCCAGCTTCAGTCTGCTCCAGAAGAGAAAGGCCCGGGGAAGGGCTAAAGAGAACCCTCTGAGGACCAGGCCTTTATAATGTGGAGGACTACTGTCACCTCCTCCCTTCCCCACCGGCTGGTTTTCCATACCACTAGTAAAAAGCCCACTTTGCCTGTGGAGACAGCAGGGCCTGAAAAGGCCTACAGAGGCTCCCAGGCTTTGGCCTGATGCCAGCACAGCTGACATCAATGACCCAGTAGGCCGGTGGCTACAGAACCCAGAGAGAAGTTTGAACATTTTGGTCTGTGGGGTCTAGGGGGTTAAAACACTGGAGAGAGGAAGCCTGGCTGGTCTTAAAGTCTCCACTCTGACACGTACTGGCTGTGGGACCCTAGGTAAGTCATTTAACTTCCTGGTGTCCCCAGGCAACAGTCTAAGACTACAAATTAATAGGTGCCAATTTGCTTTGAATAGGGAAGTGCCTACTCTGTGTCTCACTTGATTATTATTATCTCACTTGATTCTCACAACAACCCTGGGAGGTAGGTGCTATTATTATCCCCATTTTACAGATGAGGAAACTGAGGCAAAGAGGGGGTCATCTACATAATAAGTGTCTGAACTCAAGTCTTCCTGAATCAGGACCTAGCACTCCATTCACTGTGCCAGTGCTGTTATTACCTCCACTTTACCACTGAGGAAATTGAGGCAGATGGCAGTTAAGTAACTCAAAACCAGTAAGTATTTGAAGCAGGATTTGAACTCAGGTCTTCTTGACTCCAGGCTCAGGGCTCTATGCACTGTGCTAGCAGCTTCCTCTCCAAGAGCCCCTATACTGATGAAATCACAAGTTCAAACCAAAAAAAAAAAAAAGTTTTCTGAAAAGGAAGTCAGAGACCCAAGATCTAGCCCAGGTTCCCCACCCCTGATCTAGCCTGTCCCAAGATGCCTCAGGGGTCAGTGAGATTTTGTGAATCCTGCAGAAAGTGTCCTGCTGACTTAAGGGTAGGAGAAAGCTCTTGGGAGAAAGTGAGGATTTAGATCCCTAGGGCTTCAAGCTAAGAAGGACTTTAAGAAAAGTCACGTGACAGGCTGGCTCTCGCTCAGTTCCTGATGCCCGACATTCTCCCTCCAGTGACTGTTGCCCAAGCAGGCCTTCTCTGTGACTCAGAAGTGTCTCACCACTTTGGGGTGGCACCGAGTGAGGGGTCAAGAGATCCGAGGCTATCATCTTTCCTTTGCTACTTGGTGGGTAACCCCGAGAAAGTCATCTCTTTCCTAGGTAATCACCAATCACAATAAAAGCAGTATTCCGATGGCCCTCCAAGAACATGGTACATCAGCTTTATCTTATATGATCTTCCCACCAGCTCCATGAGGAAGCTGACTATTATTACCTGCAGTTTACAGAAAACAGACAGAGGGCGACTGGCCCAACATCACACTGTTAGTTGGCATCTTCCTGCTGCCAAGCCCAGTATGTAATCTGGCTGCTGTTCTACCTAGCTGCCAAAATGATATGAAAGCCTAACCCATGGTTAGGCAGGGCTTGGCTAAGGCTGGCTGGAGATAAAATGGATTGTCTCTGGTGCTACTGCTCTCTCCACACCTCTCCCTGGCTGCCGAGGGTCCTTGCTGTAGTATTCTGTATTCTGGACCTTTCCTGACATCCTCCCTCTTCATTACTGGCTCTAAAATCCATCCCCTTGGACCCTGATTTTAGGCTCACAAATCTTGAGAAACCAAAGGGGCTTCAAGCGGCTTTTTCCCCCCCAAAATGTCTTTTTCTTTTAAACAGGAACCTTCAATGCCTTAAATCAGAGAGGCTCTGAATGGTGGGAATCTGTCAAGCTGTGGTGAGTGGATACCGCCCAGGCAGGGAGTATTTGGCATCGGGCTAGCCCTGAGCCCACAGAAGACAGATGCACCCTAGGCATGGCTAAGCCTCAGGAAAAAAAAAATGAAATAAGCATTTTATCTTCCCTGCCCCTGGTTTTCCCTTTCTATCCTTTTTACGGTTTTCAATGATATTTTCAATGCTTCTTCCAGGTATGTGGGATTTTCTCTCCTAGTATCAGTAAAAAATCTGAAAAAATTGATTCATATGAAGCCAAGTCCTAATGAGTTCTCCCTTCCAAGAGTATTTTAATGAAAGGCAAAGCTTTAAGCCAAAAGAATGGCTCTCTAATGGTGTACTTTCAAGTATTCAGGGAAGGGTTTGGGGCTAGACAGCAATATGGAAATATCTAAGGATTTGTTAATGGGGATTGTTGCCAACCATACCTTTCAGAGACCTCGGCACATGTGTGAGGGTGGATAAGAGCCACTTACTAGGGCTATGGCCTTGGGCAAGCTGTTTCTCTGCTCTGAGCCTCAGTTTCTTTATTTGTAAAACAAAAGAGTTGCCCTTGACTATCTCAAAGGTTTCTTCCAGTTTTCAATTCCATGAGCTCATTCCAAAGATCCACCCAGCCACAAGCCTCTGAGGACAGAAGGTCTGCCAACATTCTGCTCTGTCTCTTGCCAGTCCCAACATGAAACTCTGGGAGGGGAGTGTGTCTTCATAGGTTAGCAGAGAGAAGGTGCCTCAGAGCCCTTGCCGCTTTTAAATTTTTCCCTGATAAAGGGACAAGAATTCAAGGCTGGAAAACAAGCCCAATTTCCTGGAATTATTGTGAGATTAACCCAGGGGACACTCACCCAGACCGTGGCTCTTCTTCCAGGAAGTTAGAGCTCAATAGTTTGATGCTGTGATGGCCAAAACTGCTGGAAGGCTACAAGGGTTCTGTCCTTCTGCACCCCAGGAACAAATGTACATGAGGCTGGCTTGAGGAAAGGGGAAAGACAGGCTTCTTCTGGTAGCCAGATCAGCAGGAGTTGTTTTTCTCAGCTCTCCAAGGACATAATTGCTCTATCTCACCACACACCCTGGGCTTCCCTCTCCTAAAGCATGGGGTCTGACTTAAGTCAAAAGACGGCAGGGCGTCCTTCCCAGGAGGAGCCTGAAGGCAGTGACACAGACCTCAAGGACTCCAGGTAACCAGATTTATCTTTTCATTACAGCTTGGCTAAGCTTGGCCACAACTTACTGTGTGTGTGGCTGGGACAGGGGGGAGGGGGAAGAAGTAAGAGAAGGGGGAGGGAAAAGGACTTAAGAGGACTGAGTGACTTAACCCAAGGTCATATTTATTATATAAACATGATATAATAAATTAGTAGCAGAGCTGACATTATGCTTTTCAGCTATAGGCTTTTTGTCTGTCAACAAACATTTTTTTAAGTACTCACTCTGTGCCTAGCACCGGGGCTACAAAGAAAGGCAAACACGTCCCTGCCCTCAAGAGGCTTAAATTCTAATGGGACGAAGCCAGGCAGCTGGGAAACACCTGAACTCAAGCCATCAGCTTCCTTGGGACTACAGACCCAGAGGACAAGGGCTCTTACCCACAACACAAATAACCTCCAAACTGCTTCATCTTATTCCTAGCTTTCTTCAAAAGGCCACCAGAAGATTAACTGGGCCTGATTACTTTGCATCCTCCCAAGGCTTGCTTTGATGCTAACTCTGTCTCCTTCTCCTCCTTCCTCCCTGGCCCCTGAACTTCATGTGCCCACTGGTGAAACTCCACGATGACTGTAGTCCATTAACTCTGAGAGAATGCGGCAGTCTTTTTTTGTGTGTTGGGGGGGTATGTTCTCTTCCATTTAGAGGGCTGCTGAGGATAGGTCCTACCCTGGTTTCTTCTCATTCTGTTCTGGACAGATAGGACAAGACAATTCTACTTCCCAAACACCTACCTAGGGCTCTCTACCCTCTTTCGTCTCTCAGATCCTTTTTGGCAACAGTTGGGTGAAGCCTATAGACCCCCTGATAACTTTGCACAGCCCTGCCTTACTTCAATCTAATTCACTTGCAAGTCATGGCATCACCTCCCTCATATCACGGTCCTCTTTGAGAATAAAATACAAACAGCAACAATAGACTCCTTTGTAGAATAGTGTTTTCAAAAGTGCAACATAAAAATGTATTGGATTATGAAGAAAACCAATTACATTGAAATACAGTTTACAAAAAAAAATTTTTTTTTTAAATTTATATACCTCAGGTTAAGGACTTTTGACCTAGACTACCCTTTCTCATCCTTTGCCTACTCCAACTCCCCTCCCTAATGCCTTCCATCTGATACCAGATGGTCTCTGCTCAGGGCCTCCTACCACAAAAGCTTACATTAATATGGTCGAGCCCAGCTTCGTCTCTTCCTTGGGAACAGCTGGAAACTACTAACACACTCTCTTCCTCTCCTCCCTGCCCCCTCCCCACCCCCCAAAATTCTACAGAGCATCCTGGGGAAAAGAAAGGTCAGGATTATGCTTTTAGCTGGGCCCTGACTTCCCCAGGGCTGGGCCCGGGCACCTCTGATTGGAGAGAAATACTAGCACATATTAGGCCAAAGAAAACAGTTACTGGGAGCTCTGTGCTCCACTCTGCTGGCCCTCAGGCCATTCGGAAGGGCAAAGGGGCTCCTGGATCTCCAGACAGAGGGAAGAATAAGTCCTCCTGCTCATCTCTTACCTTAGCAAAAGCTCATACAAGCAAGAAGTTACTTAGTCTGTCTACAGCTGGTTATCCTCACACTGGATGGAGGATAACCACCGATCCCCCCAAAATTACTCCATTCTCTAAAAGTTTATGAGCTAGGGCCATCATGAAGTTTCACCAGTGCAGACATGAAACTCAGGGGCCAGGGAGGGAGGAGGAGAAAGACGTGGACTTAACAACAAAGCAAGCCTCACAAGAATGCAAAGTGGTCAGGCCCAGTTAATCTTCTGGTGGCCTTCTGGAGGAAGAAAGGAATGAGGCTCTAGGCATGGCCTAACAGGAATTTAGAGGATTCAAACAGACTCTAGACTAGGGCCCCCTTCCCCCTCCCTCCACGGAGTCAGTGGAGAGATTTCAGGGATAAGAGGTAATATTTGTAAAGCACACATAGCAGACACTTAATAAATGCTTATTCCATTCATCCATCCATCCAGGGGTTCTGTGAACTTGAGGGGGGGGGGAAACTCATATCATTGTCTTAATCTAATTGGTTTCTTTTGTATCCAGTACATTTTATTTTATTCCTTTAAAAACATGATTCTGAAAAGGGGCCCATAGGCTTTACCCAACTTCCACTAAAGGGGTTCAGGACAAAGAGCTTAAGATGATAAAAGAAAACTGAATTTAGACCCTTACTTTCTGTGTAACCTTGGGCAAATCACGGGCCTCTTAATTCAGTTTCCTCACTTACAAAATTAGAAAGCTACTGGGAATCACCCATTGCTCAGAGAGTGTTTTGAGATCAGATATTTATAACATGCTCCAAATTCTTTTCAGATAATAGGGAAACTCAGAGTGACTTGACATTTACAGTATTTTTCTTATGAATTTCGTCTCAGCCACAAGCAAGCGGCTCAAGGTTTCATTTTTATTTCCCCATTTATGTGTCTGAAATGTGCTTTGGGATCTTAAGAGAAAAAGGAGAGCGCGTTAATTGACCCAACATCTATTTGTTGTCAATCATCTGGTAGGAATGAGTATGACAAGAGCCCTGAATGGCCAAGGGACCTCCGTGGCAGGCTTTTTCCTCTTTGATCCATCCATTCATCCATCCATCCATCCATCCATCCATTTATCCATTTATTTACTCAGCTACTTACTGAGCACAACTAATGTGCAAAATCCAACTTTAGGCAGTTAGAATACAAAGACCCTTTAAAGACTTGAAATTCTGCCACAGAGGTGGTCTTTCCTGATCCCCTTCTTCCTTATCTGTCCCATAATCCATTCCCTTATACCTTAATTTTAGGTTGACTAACCTGGGCAGCCAAAGGGGCTCATTGGTTTTTGTGCGGTGCACACGTTCCCTACCTCTAAGGGGGGCACCTTCAGTACCTTAATCCACTGTTTATTTCTCCCAAGACAGAAAAAGAGGAACTTTCCTCCTCTCCCTCCCCCCAATTAAGGATCTGAGAGAAGGGACAACACATTTTTTCTGGGAGGATTTCCAAACTCTCTTTACATAGTACTTTAACCATACAAACAAACCTCAAGGGTTCTTCCAGAACACTTAATCTCCTCCTGCTTCAGACCTGGTGAGTGAATGGTACCAAAACATAGAGGCTAGCTGCCCTTTGGCTTCTCACAGGCCATGTTCTCAAAGAAAGCTCCTCCTCTCAAACTGAGAGGCTGGCAGCCTTAGAGCAGGGCTTCTTAACCTAGGGGCTGGAAACTTGGTTTTAAAAAAAATGTTTTGATACCTATATTTCAATAGAATTAGCTTCTTTCTACTCCTGTGTGTTTTATTTCGTGCATTTAAAAACATGATTCTGAGAAGGGGGCCTTCCCCCCAACACTGCCGTAGGGGACCATAACCAGAAAACCACAAGGGAAGAAATCCTACTTTAGAGACCAGACTCCCTTGCCAAAAACCCATCTCATCGAATCATGGTATTTGGAGCTAGAATCACTCTTCCTCAGGTGTGGATTGCACACAGTAAGTACTTAATAAATGCTTTTTCATTCATTCCTTCGTTTTACAGGCAAGGAGGCTAAGACTCAGACAAGGGGAGTAAGATGGTCAAGGGGATAAGTAGTGAAGTCAGCATTCAGAGGTTCTTTCCATTTCACCAATGTTGACTCCCTCGGTCAGTCATGTTGACTCTGGGTGACCCCATTTGGGGTTTTCTTGGCAAAGATGCTGAAGCAGTTTGCCATTTCCTTTTCCAGCTCATTTTATAGATGAGGACACTGAGGGAAACATGGTTAAGTTACTTGCCCAGGGTCACACAGCTAATGAGTGTCTGAAGCCAGATTTAAACTCAGGAAGATGAGTTTTCCTAATTCCAAGCCCAGGGCTCTATCCAACTAGCTTCCCCGATTGATCTTTAGGCATCTTGGGAAGGGGTGAGAGTTGGTGCTCAGTTAACCATGCTATTCCCAGAATTCAACCCTTTCCTCTGGGAGATGTTTCTGGCATGGCCTTAAGGTAGATCATTAATAGTGGACAACCCAAAGGACTCCCAGGGAAAGAATAGTTCAACAGTCAATGCACCAGCTAAAGACCACTTCCCAAGAAAGGTTCTTTCTCCCTCATTCTGGTCCCCCTTCTTTCAAATACACAATAGCCCACTTTTATTCTTGCTCCCAACTGGGAATTTCTGTAGCCCCGATCATCTAAGCCAAGGGTGGGTGCATAACTTTATGTGTCATGGCCCTCTTCGACAAGTTTGGTAAAGCCTATGGACTGGACTAAGGGCTTTAAATAATCGAAGGGAATGCTCCATTTCAGTTAGACGTTAGTGAAAATGCAGATTTTTTTCTTTCCAAGTTCATGGACCCCCTGAAATTTATCCACAGATCCCTTGGGTTAAGAAACTGTGTCAATTCACTCTCTGTCTTCTTCCCCCCACAGGGATAGGCTGAGCTGTAGAAACAGCTCTAACACAAGGAATAAAATGGGCAGAGATTTCCCTTTATTTCACCATTTTGGCAGACTATCACAGAGAGTGGGCCAAAGCAAAGAGGACAAAGCTCTCTCCACTGCTCCACCCCTACCCCTAAGGAAAGGGTTGTCCATGAAAACCAAATGCAGACCCAGCCTGGGCAGGGCCCTGGGCCAGGGTGGGCAGCCTGGGAATTTTAGGCTTTCTGGTGCCATCCCAGAGCTGAGGTGGTTTACACAACATGTAGGAGATGCCCTCACTCACACTGGAAGCCTCTCTTTCCCCTTCTCAAGCCCCATATCAAATCCCAA